AAAAAAAAACTAAAAATTCAAAATGGAAACACATTTTTTGTGTTTTTATTTTTTGGCCAAATTTATAAACTGAGACCACTAATTTATAAATCAAAAATTTTACCAAACAAGTTTTTATTTGAGTTTTTTTAATTTTTGTAAATATAACAGAAAACTGAAAACGTAAGTATTATCAAACGGCACCTAACTTTTTGCTAGCTTGCCAAAGCAAGGCTATGTGTTTTTGAGTTTTTAGCTTTTGGTTATTTTAGTTTGGGTTAAAAAGTTTTATTGATGATTTATTTTTTTGTTTTTTTGTGAAAAAAAAAATTTATAATGATTATGAATTAGATATGACATTTTGTCTTATTAAATTAAAAAGCTTGTTTTATTTTTTTTAGAACTAAAATAATCTCAAATCTAACCCAACCTGAGTTACTAGACGAAAGCAAAATATTTTTTTAGAGTTAAACTGAAAATATGACATTTAACTGTGCCATCATGAAATTTTTGATAAATTAAATTTATTTTCAAAAAAATTTATTTTTATTTTTATTTTGTTATAAAAGTAACACTAAATTAAAAAATATTATAAGCATATATGTGGCAAATATTGTTTAAAAAATATTTAAATAAAAACATGTAGAATTGTCCCCTAGTTTTCTCTTGGATGAAAAAAAAAATTAAAAAAAATATAATAATACAGTAGTGTAAGATTTAAATTTATTTTCGGCCCATAGCAAAGCAAAATCGGAAATTGGGGAACTTACGGTAATTATTGCATTGTGATGTCCCTTTGGGCTCCACCCAGAAAATATGTGGGCTTAGGGTGGGATGGTTACTTGAAAACCAAAAGTTTGATCACTTCAAACTTAAGGCCCTGCAACCCAAGCTTTATTGGGCCGACCACACGCCCATTGAGCTTGAGTTGTTGGGTTTAATTTTACTGGAGTATTAAGGTTGTGTTTTGGGCCTTGAATTTTGTAAAAAAATTCAAGGAAATACTTCATTCCTCTTCCTATATTTTTCTCTCTTTTTTTGGCTGTATAAATCAAATACAATCACATTTTTTTCTCGACAAATTTAAGATTCAAATAAAATTTGAATTTTTTTTTTCCTTTCAAGTTATATAAATGGGAATGAGACTACAAACTCAAATCCAACTGGTAAGGATGTAAGAAAAATTGACTAATCCGATTGAACCTGACTAAATCAACTATATTTGGTATGTTTTTTAACAAGAATCTGTTTGTGCGGTTTTTAAATTTGATTTTTTTGGATTTTCAGTTCAGTATCAATTAAACCGAAACCGACCACTTCAACATATATTGTATTTATAATATATATATATATATATAACTAATAATATAATGAAATTAATAAGTATAATAAATTACTAACCTTAATTAATTAACCATATCATCTTTATAATTTAAGTTTGTAAACTCTTATTATATATAATCTTAACTCTAACTCATTATTCTTGAAACTTTAGTATTTTTTAACTTTTTTTTTGTTTTTAATAATTTAAAAATATTTATTAAATGGATTGATTGAATATGTTTGAAATGGTGGACAAATAACTAATTTAATATTTTTATATAGATTAGTCATTATATTTAAAAATGGCTCAAATTTGAAAGATCTTAGACCGATTAAACCGCACCGAACCGAACCAAACCATTTCAATCGATTCA